CTACCTTTGAGCATAGACCAGGGGATATCCAAGATGTTGTCTCATCGGCCATTAGGCAGGGATTGGCTGAAGGCTTCAAGCAAATTCTTCGACCTCTGGAAAGGGTTCAGGCCCTTCTCCCTTCTCAATCTATAAGTTCCTTGCCTCATCACCCTGATTTACACAGGCCCCAGGACCTCAGGGTCCATTCTTCTCTACCAGAATGGGAGGAGGTTGATGAGGAAGGAAGGGCTTCACCTTCTGAACACAGTTACTCCTCTCGTTCAGAGTGTGAAGAGGGCGAGATTTTTGACCAAAATCTTTCAGAGGAAGAAGATTCTCACCCAAAGCAGACATCCTCTGCATTGGTCTTCAAACCTACTCTCTTCAGGCCATTACTCAGCAAGGCTTTGATCCCTCTAGCCAAGGGGACACGCTCTTCTCCAAGCCTGTAGTGCATGCAGAGGTTTTGCCTTCTCCCATTTTGTTCCTGGACATGGTCAAGGAACAGTGTGCTTCCCCTTCAGCAGGTCCTTGCCCATCTTCTCTGGATAAGCGTTTCTACAATGTCAGCACAGCTCTGGACAATGCCCTGGCAGTGCCTTCTGTTGACATTCTGGTTCTGGCCTCGTTCTCATCTTCTGGCACTCCCACGGAGCCAGAAGATATCCTGAAACCGGATGATAAACGTTCCAAACAGACCCTCAAGTGCAATCACCAGGCCGCTGCATGGGCTGTTCGGGCTTCAATGGTAGCATCCTTTTTCACAAGGGCATCCATGCAGTGGCTGTGCCAACTCCAGAATAGATTGCCTGCTTCTGACTTTTGGTCTCACCAAGACCTTAATAAGATTATCGCAGTGGCGGAATTCACTGCAGATGCCACTCTCAATTCTGCAAATTTGCATCCAAGGCCATGGCATCTTCAGTAGCAGCAAGAAGACTTTTATGGCTCTGAAATTGGCAGGCGCAGTCACACCGAAAATGGAAGCTGGCTTCAGTTCCATTTGTAGGCGATAAGCTTTTTGGCGATGCTCTGGAACCTTATCTCATCGAAACCAGAAATAAACGTAAAATTCTCTCTTCCTCTGGGAAGAAAGCCGACTATTACCCTGCTCCTTATCACCCTCCTGCCTTTCGAGCGGAAACCTCATCTCGCTTCCCCCGCTCTCAGAGGCTGTACTCCCAACGCCAAGGCCAACGTGCGGAAGCATCTGGCAGGCAACAACCTTCTACTGGTAAACGGCCCTTTGGGGGGGGAGGTTGTTCCTTCCATCGCTCTAAGTAAACCTTTGTTCTCTCCACCCATTGGAGGTTACCTAGCCTTCTTTGCCTCCAAATGGGAGGAGTCAACGACGGACACCTGGGTGCTCAGCACTATTAGATCAGGGTTACAATTGGACTTCAAGACATTTCAAGGCAAACCCTCATGAATTAGGCCATTCAGCACCTTCTTGAAATCAGGGCTATTCAACCTGTTCCCCCCTCTCAATGGGGACTCTCGCCTTTTCATCATTCCCACAGCCTCGGGGGGGGGGGGGTGGCGAGCCATCCTTGATCTAAAATTTCTCAACCAATTTGTAAAATACAGGAGATTTAAAATGCAGACTCTGCATTCTATTTTAGAGAGCGTTTGGGAGGGCGACCTCCTCTCTTCCATTGATCTCACGGAGGCTTACCTCCACATCCCAATTTGGCCTCATCACCGCCAGTTTCTCCATTTCTGTTATCAGAATACCCATTACCAGTATTGAACACTTCCCTTCAGCCTCTCATTGGCTCCAAGGGTTTTTACAAAGGTTCTGGCAGCATTGATGGCATCTCTGTGTTCTGTTCCAGTGAGGATCCAATGCTACTTGGACGACATTTTGATTCTGTCCTCTTCCATCCGTGCGGCCCATCGGGATCTGCAAATTACCCTGTCATATCTCCAGAGCCACGGATTTTCCATCAACACCAAAAAAAAGCCAGCTCTCTCCCACAACCAAATTGGGAGCAGTCATCGATACCACGTCGTGCCAGGTTTTCCTGTCCCCAGCTCATGGAAAGAGCCTTGCAGAGATCATCAGCCAGATCCAGCAACATCAAACGGTCCCCCTGTCGCTGCTGTCCAAACTTCTGGGGAAGATGGTCTCCTGTATTGGCATCATCCCGTGGGCTCGGCTCCACTCCCGACCCCTCCAATGGTTCCTGCTTCCCTACCAACGAGCAGGAACCAGCCACTCATCCATCGAGCTCCCGCTCCTGCCACAAATCCGGAGATCTCTCAATTGGTGGCGTTCCCCGTCAAATTGGAGGGGACTCCTGTTCAGGGACCCAGACAGGCTAGTCATAACCACTGATGCCAGCTTCCTGGGTTGGGGTTCCCATATGCAGGGCCAGATAGCTCAGGGCATTTGGTCCAGGTCAGAGCAGACCCTTCCCATAAATTGGCTAAAGCTCAGAGCCATTTTTCTGGCTCTCAAGCATTTCAGGCAATCAGTGACCAGCTCTCATGTTCTAGTCCTTATGGACAACATGGCCGCAAAGGCTCATGTCAACCGGCAAGGGGGGACGAGGTCCAAAGCCCTCATTACAGAGGGCCTACAGTTGGGGTTATGGGCAGAGAAACACCTGTTGTCGATCTCGGTGGACCACATCTCCAGGGTCGACAACTCCCAGGCCAACTGGCTCAGCAGGAGCCTAGTCAACCAGGCAGAATGGTCCATTCTTCCATCTCTATTCAGATACTTTTCCCTCAGATTCAGAACACCAGAGGTGGATCTCTTCTCCACTCCTCAAAACGCCCAAGTCACCAGATTCTTCACCAGGTTTCCTTGCCAGGGAGCGGAGGGGACCAATGCTCTTCGGTGCAGATGGCCCAAGGGTCTCCTCTAGGCCTTTCCCCCGCTTCCCATCATTCCGGCAGTAATTCGGAAGATGTTGCAGGAATGAGTGGAGCTCCTCCTCCTGGCACCCTATTGGCCAATGAGGCCCTGGTTTGTGGACCTGGTCAACCTATCTGTGGCTTCTTGGAGGATCCCAGCCCATCTAATCTCCCTTCACCAGGGGGCCCTGCTCCACCCAGAGCCCCGGTGATTCAAGCTGACCATGTGGTACTTGAGCGGCAGCGGCTAGAGGAAGCTGATCTTCCAGAAAGGGTCATCCTCACTATCCTGGCGTCTCGCAAACCTTCTACAAGGCGCATCTATGATGCCACCTGGAAGGCCTTTTCCCGATGGTGCCTCAGGGAGGATCTTTCTCCTGCTTCAGCCCAGTTGGCAGAAGTTCTTAACTTCCTTCAGCATGGGCTGGAGAAAAGTTTGGCTCCCAACAACTTACGCAGGCAGGTTGCAGCCCTCTCCTCGGTCCTTTCATGGGGTGTGCTTCCTTCCTTATCCCATCACCCTTCAGTCAGGAGGTTTTTGAAAGGGGCTTCTAACCTGCACCCACTGGTGGTTCACAGGTATCCTTCCTGGGACCTTCATATGGTCCTTAAAGCCCTTACGAAGCCCCCCTTTGAACCCCTTAGAACAGTGTCTCTTTGTTTCCTGACTCTGAAGGTAGTGTTCCTTGTTTCCATCACTTCTGCCAGGAGGGTTTCCGAGCTTGCTGCTCTTTCCATCAGACAGGATCTTTGTTCCTTTCACAATGATAGGGTTGTTCTCCATCTGGACCCCTCATTTATTCCAAAAGTTAACACTTGGTCCCAGGACATTGTGTTGCCTGACTTCTGTCCTCTCCCGCACCATGACTTAGAGCAGCAGTGGCACACGCTAGATGTAAGAAGGGCTCTTAGAATATACATTAAGCACACCTCCTCCTTCAGGAAGTCGGAAGCCATGTTTGTTTCATTTTTCCCTTCTCACTTGGGGCACAAGGCTTCTTCTCCTACTATTAGCAGGTGGGTCAGGTCTTGCATTGAGCAGGCCTACAAAGCAGCGGCACTCTACCAGAAGCGCGGCCACTTCTGCTGCCTGGGCGACCCAAGCATCCTTGGAGGAGATTTGTCATGCGGCCACGTAGACATCCCCATCTCCTTTCATCAGATACTACCGTGTGGATGCCTTTGCCTCGGCGACTGCAGCCTTTGGCAGATGGGTGCTTCAACAAGTGGTTCCACAATCGGTGTGATGAGCCGGACGAGGACCCGCCCCTGGACATGCAAGCTTTGATATGTCCCATCCTGGGCTCTCGATGCAGCATGGAGGAGAATGGACGTTGGTAGAAGTTACCATGAACTCCCTTTCTATCTATGCTGCAAGAGAGCCCAGCCCCTCCCTTGATTCGTCCAGAGAGGGTAAGACATATTTCTGTATTCATTTGTGCTTTCAGAGACACCTTTCAGTCTGTCAAGTATCTTCGCCAAAGCTGGGGTCTCTCCCAGGGGCTGGATTTTATATCTTAGTACAGACTCAGCTAAATGACATCATAGGAAGGAGTCAACCCATCCTGGGCTCTCTTCCAGCATAGATAGAAAGGGCGTTCACGGTAACTTCTACCAATGCCCATTTTAAAAGGGAAAGAAATAGGTAAAAACAAAATTGGAGGGTGCAAATCAAAGGGGAAAACTATTGAAAAGAGATAACTTTTAACTTATTTTGATACAAATAAAAACCTAAAAATCAGTAATCCTTTGAATAAATCATAACATAAGCATTTGTATCATAAATAAATCAAATAAAAATGTAAAGTTAAAATTTCATTTTTTTCCGTTTCAAACAAAAATCTAAGAGTGGTTTCCAAGAAAAAACAAAGTTTTTTCTTTATTCAAAGCAATAAATTTCTCAACTCCATTAATTTTACCATCTATTTTTTACATTGTGAGTATATGTGAGGCCTTCCATCTCTGTTTCTTGCAGAACTCCTGCTGTTGTTGTCTATATAAAAACAAAGTTCCATATTTTTTTCAACCCAGTCTACATATTCTCCCATAAATTAAGGATTATTTGGTAACCAAGCATTGTGTTATAAATGTTTCCATTTGATCTTATAGTTATAGCCTTTAATATATTCATCTTCCATTATTTATTATCGTTACAGATTGGTATTATCACATCCCTCTGAAACGATCAGAGGAACAAGTTAGTTCAGATGTTGCACAACAGCCAAAATCTCATATCCTAGGTCATGGTGATTTTGAGGGTCCTCACCATGACATTACCTTTGGGGGTCGAAGAAAGTGGATCAGGGATACTGATTCAGAATATGTAAAACTGGCAAAGCAAGGAGGTCGACCAGGTGATTTACTTTAAACAAATATCAAATCTATTCAGAAGGTTGATGTGAATATTTTTATGTGAAAACAAAGGAAGAAATTACTGCTAAAAGTGTTGGAAATTAAAGATAGAATATGACAGAAGAGAAGCATGAACATTTTATTTTTCCAGCTGACACTGTGGGTCTTAGTTCTCAAGGGCTTTTTTATAGATTCTAAGACTCTGAACAATAAGTTATGAAACGTACAAGAAACCAAATGTGTGATAAAAAAGTTGAAGATTTAACAATTAATGAATCTCAAACTGAATCAAAATAAGGAAAACTTCTTAGATCTCTATTGCTGCTTATGAGATTGTGTTATTTCTGGTTTTTACTTCAATTTCAGTGGGATACCCCAAGGCTCTGTCTTAGGCCCAGTACTCTTCAAGATCTTCATCAACGACTTAGACAATGGGATAGAAGGGAAAACTGATTAAATTTGCAGGTGACACCAAGCTGACAGAAATAACCAATACTCCAGACGATAGTTCAAGATACCGAAGGATCTTGCAGCCTTGAATGTTGGGCACTAGCTAACAAATTGAAATTCACTCTAGGGAAAAGTAAGATTTATGTTTTCTAGGGAAAAGTAAGATTTACTTTTCTAGGAAAATGTAAGATTTATGTTTAGGAAGAAAAACCAAATGCACAGCTATATAATAGGTAGTACCTGGCTCAAGAGTAGTAACTGTGTGAGAGATCTTGGAGTCCTAGTGTACAGTCACTTATATTTCAGCCAATAGTATGTTGCAGTTGCCATAAAAGCCAACACAGTCCTAGGTTGCATTAATAAAGGGATAGAATCAAGATACATGAAGTGTTAGTAACATTTTATAAAGTCTTGGTAAGACCATACTTGGAATATTGCATCCAGTTTTGGTTGCCATATATAAAAAAAAGATGTTGAGAGTCTAGAAAGAGTCAACAAAGATGATTAGGGGATTGAAGGCTAAAACATGAAGAACTGTGGTAGGAATTAGGTATGTCATCTTCTGGTCAAACCAATGTGAGAAGCCATATAGGAATAATATAATCCAAGGTGCCAGTCACATGTCCACTCCATGCAACAGTTAGGTCCTGAGCCAAATTGCTCACTAAATCTTCAGGGGAAAACCCCAAGCTCTCTTTTGAACCCTATTTGGTCCATCAATTGTCTGGAGGAAGCCAATTGAATAAGCTCTGTCTCTCTGAAGGAAAGGGAGAATCAAAAGACAATCAAAAGACAATCAAAGAATGATCTGTCCACGACTGATGTTAATGTCCACCACCACCTCAGGACAAAAACTAGACTCAGCATGTAAACACTGGCATGTGTCTCACTGTCATTTATTTGGGACAGATTCACTGAAGCCACAATCTTCTGAGGCTCTCCAGACTCAGTCATCAAATAACAAATTGAAACCCCAAAGATAACAGCCTTTGTGACTCTATTGCCAATCCAGCAACAGAATCAGGTAGCAAGGAGGGTGATAACACCAACAATCCCAAATGTTCCCTTATGCTGAATCACAACTAAAACACCTCATATCTGGTTATCTTGGAGCAGAGTCCCTGAAGTATTAAATTTAAATACTAAATTTATTCAAAGCTGTAAATAAACTTCTACATTTTAAAATCAATCTAGTTCTTAATATCCTCATTTCCAGTTTCTAAATTATTGTAATATATGTTATTTTCAATATTCAGGGAAGTCTCTGGTAGCTTATGTAACCAAATTGGCAAGAGGCATGTATAAGAGTGATCAGCAAGCATGGAAGGTTTGCAGGAACACAATATTTTTAATGAAAAGAATTAAGATTGTGACTCTCTGCAGTGCTCAATGTCTTATAGTACATACAGCAGAGAAGAAACAAGAAATGAAGGGAGAGCAAAATGAATTATTCTGGAGATAGATATTGCTGGATGCTTTTAAATGGCATTTTGATTTCTTTTAAATATTGAAGATTTCTCTATTTTCCTGAAAGGTAAATATTTTTTTCAAATATCACAGTGAAGTAATTTTTATAAGGAATCTACAATAGAATAATATGAAACAGTTAAACACTATCTCCCACATCGTGTTATTCCTACTTCAGATACAGCTATCAATAGATTTTAAAAACAAAATGTAAAAAAGAGATTGCATCAAAAATTCTTTTATATCCTGTCATTTAGATATTGTTCTCATTTAGTGCATTAATATAAAAGCATTTTAATATTTTTTCCATGCTCTAACAGTGTGCAGGAAACAGAATTTATTTGATTATCTTTTTTAAAATGTGCAGTTGTTTAAATATATTTTATATTTTTAAATATCTTTGATTTAAGATTTACTGAGACATTTTACTTCACCACGAAAAGTATCCCCTTACTGTGCACCTGAATCACATCATAGCAAACAAGCAGCTGATGATAACTCTAAGTAAGTATTCTGTCTTCATGAGAAGTATTAATTTAATTTTGCAATGAGGGGAATGGTTTTGTTGAATGTTGAAATTAAAAAAAAGTTCCATAGCTTGTTTATGTCTGCACTATGATGGCAAAAGCTATATTGAATAATGGTTACATTTTTGCCTCCAGATCTCGTGTTCCAGTAATGCCAGACTACATGATTCATGAAGAATTTAACTCTGACCAATCAACCAGATATAAACCTAAAAGGGGTCCTTTTGATTTTGATACGAAAAGTATTTGGCAAAGAGATGCTGAAGATAAAGAAAACAAAAAGAAAAGAGAGGTAAGATTCTGCTATTCCTAGCTGTTATATTACTTTTTTTTTTTAAATGATGCTAGTTATGTCAGTTAGATTTTAAAAAACCAAATATGAAAATAGATTTACCTGGAACAGGATTAGTTATGTATGTGGAGGACTTTTTGTTGCAATATGCTTGCAATACAGTCTTAAATATACTTGGAAGCATATTCCACTGGTAGTTTTTTTACTATTAGTGTTTAAATATTTAAGAATTTTAGTCTGAAAATTGTGTGTATGAAACATAAAATGTATAAATATTGTAAAAAAACTTTTAGAAAATAACATTTATAATAGGAGCAATACACAGTTTTAACTAATTAACTAAACACTATTATGGGTTAGTATTTAATAAAGGAAAATATCTGTAGCTCAGGGTCGTTGGTGCTCTCTGAGCTTGGTTGTTTTCTTGCAGGCCATTATTACCCAAACTAGAGAATATCATCAGTACTAGTGATTAGGGATTAGTCTTTAAAGAGGTCTATGGGGCTTTCCTGTGCATACTTATGTATTATTTATGCTTATTCAAATAAATCTCAATCATAAGGTTCTTATATAGTGCTAAATAATCAACCGATTATTTGAGCTCAAATAAGGGTCTATGTCTAGTGTGGAAGATGTCTTGAATTCAAAACAGCCATTTTAAATATGAAATGGTTGATTGAAGTATGATATGGAAGTTTTTCCAGAATGCTTGAAACATTCCAATTTATCCAATATGTTAAATGTAGATATTTTAAATTCAAAATGTGGTTTTTCATATTGAAAACATTGTGCCTACCTTTAATGCAAAAACAAAATGTTTATACATAGTATTTTGTGATGGCAGGTTCTACTAATTTGCTATTTTGCTTACTAAAGTGTGTATAAATTAAAGATCTAGAATGCTTAGATTAAAGATTGGTCCAATCTTATGTATATAATACTAAACCAGGCCTTATATACAGAATAGTATTCTATTGCATATTAACCCAATTTTAGTTTTAAATATGTTTAAGAGACTTACCTGTCTCTTGCCAATTTCCACAGAAAAGATAAGCCAAGTACAAGTTTCTTTTCCTAATAGTTTTGTAGTCCTGGCAAATTGGAGCTCATTTCTTCTATTCTGTTTTGGCTAATAACCTCTTTGAGTTTGAGGAAGGCACATTCTTTTCCTGACTTCTTGTTTTGAAAAATCAGCCACAGTATTTGAAAAAACAACAAAGAAGTTGAGCAATATAGATGCTCTGTAGGAATTAGGCTGCTTGTGAATGCTCCTTTACGCAAACCTATTTTTCTGCAGGAATAATAGTTGTTTAAAGATTAGATTAAAGTAAATTAACAAAAAACATAGCAACTAATTGCAGATAAAAAGAAATGTTACATTGTAATTTGGATATCCTTTACAAGTAGTTCTCCCTTAATGACAAGGTGATTAATAATCAAATTTATGACAGTTTCCTACAGCAGGTGCCTATAATCCAATTTTGAAGTTCTGTGAGCTGCACACATATACATGATCACAGGCTCACATTTATAGCCTTTTGTAACATCCCGTTGTCATGTAACCATAATTCTCAGCACTTTTTATTAGTTTCCAGCATTTGATTCTGGCTTCTGGGGAAAAATGTTCATTGGCTAAAAGGGATTTGCTTAATGACCAGTTGCTTAAAAGCTGCTACAAATCAGGTCATAAAATTGCATATAGTCACAGAGTGATCTCCTTAACAAGCCCAACAATTAATGACTATAATTCTGGGCTCAATTGCAATTGTAAATCAAGAAATAACTACTGTATAAACCAAATCACAACTTGGTTTCGTATATCATGTGAACAAGGTCATTATATTTATATATTATGGAAGTAATCTAGTATATTCTAGCTATAGTACCTAGAACTCTAAATGATATAATTTCTGTTTACAAGTTTTGTATCTGAACTTAATTAAATTAACATTATGTGGATAGAATACATGTTGTACATACACATTATTGCCAGCTTTTCCAACTTGTATGGCTAAACTTGAGAATGAATCACTTAATATTCAAAAAGCTTAAATTTCACTTTTGTATGGGTTTTGAAATTATTTTTCATTTTGTCCATTTAAAGAACTTTAAATATATCTACATAGTTGGGACTTATATTATCAATATTTTTCTAACAAAGTAGTTTAAAACACTGTTGTTGTTGTTTAGCTTGTTGTGGAAAATGAATTTGGTGCAGCTATAGAAATGACCCACAAGGAAGTTTCATAATGTAAAAAACACTGTAATCCCAGTAGGTTCCAACCAGATTAGTTAAAAACATGTAAATCCTAGGGGAATCTAGATTAGGTTATTTAATACATTATGGATTAATTTTCAGTTTCTGGAATATATATCTGAATTGTGATTGTATACCAAAATTATGTTTATTTTGGAGTCTTGTTAGAACTGAAAGTCTTTTTTAAAAGCTTTGTGTCTATGGAGATTCTCAGTCATCCAGGTCATGGTTGTATTAAAGGTACTTTTTCAAACAGGAACCGGACTTTGTTTTTCCTTGAAGACATTTTGCTTCTCTTCCAAGAAGCTTCTTCAGTTCTGAACTGAAGAAGTTTATTGGATGAGAAGCTAAACATCTTCAGGGAAAAACAAAATCCAGTTGACTTTTGAAAAAGCACCTTTGGAATTTAAAAGCTTCAGTTGGTCTTTAACACCTAAACTCATTGTCAGCATTTCTACTATATTGATGTCTTTATTATTTTGTTTTTGCTCAGAATTAGATTGAAACTTTTATCCTGTCAGTTGTGGAAAAAATAGTCATTTTTCATTGTTTAATCTTATTAGCAACTCTTCCATAAACACCATCAATTAGTTGCTAATGGTCATAGATCTTTTAAATCAGTAAGTAGAACTATAAGAAGTTACAGATAAACGAAGTCATATAAATATGAAATGCATACATATAAATACAAGCATAGCAGATGATAAAAAAAGCCTAACCTGTAATATATTCGGGTGTGGCTTTTCATAGCAAATTACAGACATTTGAATATTATTCCTGTAGTATCTTTGGACTCTATTTCCTTAGCAACAATAAGAGAACAAAAAAATAGAATCGTTTTCTCTGTGTGTAGATTAATAAGATTTATTAAGAAAAAGGCTGAAGTAATAACACAGAAATCCTGGCAAAACATTTTGTTTTTAGCCACATCATCAACATGAGAATCATTTCTTGAACTTGTATTTATATTTGCTAAAAGAAGCATTGAGTACTATTGGAAATATATACACAGTTAAGAAAATAAGAAGGGACATAGGATGAAAGTAGTTGGATGTTTCCTATACATATGTATGTAGTTTTACGTGTGGGCTATATTGGATCCAGCATGGGAAAGGTGCTGTGCATCTGGCATCGTGATTTGTACTATGTGTGGTGGTAGCTCCTTAGAGAAGCCATGTTTTTTTCCTGGATTTATATGATAGACACCCAGTCCTTGGAAAATAAGGAGGTCCAATCTTATATTGCTACCTTGCTATTATCTCCTTATTTCAATCATCTGCTTTTCACTGCCTGCAAGACTGCTGTGTAAGCCCAGGAAAAAGCATGACTTCCTTAAGAAGCCACCAACAGGCTCAGTATCTGTACTTCTACCAGAAATAAGGCAACTTTCCCACTCTGCATCTACTGCATACTCCAGTATATGCAGGGGTGGGAATTAAATTTTTTTAACAACCGGTTCTGTGGGTGTGGCTTGGTTGGTGGGCATGGCTTAGTGGTCATGTGACTGGGTGGGCGTGGTCAACTTTAACACATTTGCGTGGGTGTTGACTGTATGGGCCAAGAGAAAAGAAAGATCCAACCTTTGTGCATTGGGGGGGGGGGAGAGAGCTTAGTTTTTTTAAAAGCCCAGAGGAGGGAAAAAGATAAAGTTGTGCCAAAGAAATCCCAGGGCAGGGGCAAGGAAAGAAAAGGAATCCCTGCTCTGAAAAGGGATTACCCTCCCAAGAAAACAAAGGAGTCAAAACCTTATTTATTCATACTTTTTAAAAAATTAATTTAACAGACATTTAAAAAGCAATTTCAATTTCACTTTCCCAAGTTCAAGTCTTTTGCTTAACATATATGATATGTTAACATATTTATATTCCTCTATGTTTTAAGCACTAGGAATTCTCTATATAATTAGATTAAAGAAAAGCTCTTACATTAAGTTAGTGGCAATTTTCTATATCTCACAAGCAATGAATTAGTGTGGAACTACTTTATAACAATCACACATAAACTTTTGGTCTTTTTTTATTCCATCTGTCTTCTGACACATCCTCATTCTCCAGGTGAGCTGTTCAGAGCATCCAGGCATGGGAGGTGCTTCCTTCTCTCATCCAATAGGCTGAGCTGATTTCTGAGGACACTCCTCCTTGAGGCTCCTCCTTAGTGTCCCCAGTTTTTGCTCAGCCTTCGTTCAGACAAGGCAAGCTTTTCTTTTGGCTGGATTTGTGAACAACATTGAGCAGAAATAAACAGAAATAATCAAGAAAAAAAACAGGTCAGATTGCAGCTTCTGGCTGCAGATGGAGATCGCGATCTATAACTAATTATAGAGAGCGCTTCTGGCGCAGTTTCTAGCATTGTCTGGCTGTCGGAGCTCTTAAAACATCAAAGAGAGCCCTAATGACATTCGTGCGCAGGCTCGAGTCTGCAAACAGCTTTCCCCTCAGGCTACCATCTCAGCAAGCACAGTCAAAACAATTAAAATGAACTGGCTGGCAGAGATAATAAAGCTCCGCAGAAGATTGACTTTGTGTTTAGCACAGCTCGAAGAAAGCTTTTAAATAAACGGTCAATCTCAAAAAGCTGCAGACACCAACTTTAACAAGCTGCTGGCTGTCATAGTGCTTTATTCCCTCACAGAGGGCAGCAACGGCGCAATAAGTGGAGGCTCTGATAATGAGTAGCCCAGATAAGGGCTAATTTCCCCAGGAATTCCATTCCCTCATCTAACACCAGGATGCATCAGAACATAGCCAAAGTGATGGCAGATGCAGAGTTTTCTGCAGATGCTACTTTTAGTTCTGTAAAATTCTCATCAAGAGCTATAGCGTCCCAAATCACGGCACAATGCCTACTCTGGCTCTGACATTGGCAAGCAGACACTAAACATAAGTGGAAACTAGCATCTGCCCCCTTTGAAGGGGACAAACTGTTTGGATCTGCCCTAGATCCGCTCCTGGTGGAATCTCGAAATAAGAAAAAGATCTTCCCCTCCCTTTTTCGCAGGCCTGACAGTAAATCTTTCCAGTTCTTTTGGGGGGGTTCCTTTCGTCCCTTCTATCAAGGATCCTATTCCCAAAGATCACAAAGGCCCTTAGGGTATAGATAAGGATAGCAGGCAGAAAGACCTGAATTCGGGGACAGAAATAGGGGGGGGGGGGGGGCAAAACAAAAGATCCTTTTGTGGGGCAGGAAATAAATCCTTTTGTTGCCCCAAGTAAAATCATCCCCGATTATCCCATAAAAGGCCGGTTAAGACTATTTGCAGATCAATGGGAATCCACTACATCAGATGCCTGGGTCACAGAGACCATAAGATCAGGTCTCTCTCTAGAGTTCCTCTCCACACCCCTGGATTTTTTTATGATGTGCCCTGTGTCAAGGGATCCTACCAAAAGGACTCTTATGGAGACCGCAATCCAGCATTTTCTGGAGATCTGTGCAATCCAACCTGTGTCGACAGATCAACAAGGGCAAAGATTTTATTCACATCTATTTGTGGTCCCAAAAGGTTCAGGGTGGGGTGGGTGGAGAGTGATTCTAGACTTTAAATGCCTGAATCGTTTCCTTGTCTACAAAGATTTAAGATGAGCTCCTTGCAATCAATCTTCCTCAGTATCAGACAAAGAGATGTCTTAACGTCAATAGACTTAACAGAGGCATATTTACACATTCCTATCAGACCCACGCATAGCAGATTCCTGAGATTCTGTTATAGTAATCAACATTTCGAGTATATAGCTCTTCCATTTGGTCTAGCTTCTGCCCCACCCTGAACCTTTACAAAGGTTCTGGCAACATTAGTAGCCCATCTGGGAGTAAACCAGTTAGGCTACAATGCTATCTCAATGACATATTAATTTTGACATCGTCCAGCCATCAGGCTGAATGAGTTATTCAGATCACTCTACAAGCTCTCCAACAGCACGGATTTTCAATAAATTGGACCAAGAGTCATTTAACACCTTCGACTCGGCTCTTGCACTTGGGAGCCATCATTGATACAGTGGCTGGGAAGGTATTCCTATCACCAGATAGGCGGAGTAGCATTAAGCAGTTGTCAAAAGAGGTAAGAACTTTCAAATGAGTACCTCGGTCCAATTATCCAAATTGCTAGGTAAAATGATCTCCTGCATTTTTATTGTTCCCTGGGCCTGGCCCCATGCCAGAACCCTTCAATGGTTTCTGTTTCTGTATCAGCAGTCAGGAAGGAGCAATGCCATGCACCGTTCCATCAAAAGTACTTACATTGCTGCACTGGTGGACCACAGTAAACATCAACAAGGGTTATCTTTTCAAGGACCCTCACAGACAGATTATTACAACAGATGCAAGTCTGTTTGGATGGGGGCTCATGTAAGTCCCTTACAGCTCAGGGTCACTGGTCCACAACAGGCAAACTTGCAGCATAAACTGGCTGGAATTGAGGGCAGTCCACCTGTCCCTCCGCAAATTTCTACTGCTGATCCAGGAACAACATGTTCTCATCCTGATCAACAGCGTGGCCACAAAGGCCCACATAAACAGATGGGGGCACACATTCAAGATCACTAATGAGAGAAACAGAGAGACTGTGCCACTGGGCAGAGAGGAATTGAATGTCTGATGCTCCCCCAAAAGCGACACTACTTCACAGGTACTTCGCCAAAGTGTCAGGCTCCAGGGATGACTGCTCACCCTGACCCCGACAAATATACCCTAAATGTCACTCACTAAATCATGGTTGAGTTGGAGGCTGGGATGGGTGCAAACACGTGGTGGGCCGGAGGGTTGCAGCCACCCCCCATTTGCAGGTTGCAGTGGTGTGAGCGGCTTCCCCTCCTGCCTCACCAGCTGCCAGTGGGCATTGCCAGCAATCCAGTCAGTGAGCTTGATCACCCTGCTGACAGCAAAGAAAAGGCCCAGCAGCACACAGAGGGCAGAGAAGAGCAGCACCATCATCACCTTTGCTGTTTCTCCCACCTTTCCTGCCTGTTGGCGGCCAGCCAGAGGAGGTGGAACCAGTGAGGGGGGAGAAAGGAGGCTGGGAAAGCAAAATCGAGTTTAAGAGTGCCTCATGGAAGGAGCTGAGAAGCCGAGAGCAAAAGTAGCGAGGGCAACAGGGGAGTGTCCCCCCTCAGGGAGTGTGAAAGAAGGCAGACACCACACCTCTGAGAAAAGATGAGGCAAAGCCCTGGCTGTCACCAGGAGGGGACCGCGGAGGGACATGTCACATGCCCCTGTCACCCTCGCAGCTGCTACTTTTTCTCTCTGCTTCTTTCATGGGGCGCTCTTAAACTTGATCTTAAAAAGCTTGCAAGTCCCCTTCCCATCGGAAAATGGCTCTGGGCAGTAGAGAGAAACAAGATTCTGGCTGCTTCTCTACCACCGGGAGCCATTTCCTGATGGGAGGGGGACTTGCAGGACCCAAAGCTAAATTTCCCTGTGCTGGGAAAGACTCCCTCGCTCTCCCAGCTAGAAAAGCAGGGGAGAGAAGCAGCCACTGACCCTGCTCCATGTGTTCTCTGGCAAAGGTAAGTGGTGGTGATGGGAAAAAGTGACCAGCGATGGCAGCAAAAGGTAAGTGATGGGGCAGGAAGGCGACTGGCAGGGCTTGCTTGTAGAGCCTCACTCACCGATCACAAAGGCAGGCAGCAATGGTGGGTGGGCGAAGATGGCAGCTTGGGTGCTTTGGGAGTCGAGACTCAACTGGGGCTCGTGGCGGCGGCAATGGTAGATAGGCGACAGAGGTGTGCAGAGCCTCACTCAACCAGGGAAATCAGGTCAGGCAGGGCTGCAATGGAAGACAGGCAGCAATGGCTGGCCTGGCAGGCAGGCAAAAGCAGGCTGCAGGCAGCGATGTCGGGCATGCGCGATAAGGACTGACTGGGTGGCGAGGGGAAGGGTGGGTGAAGAGAGGCAGGGCCAACCGGCGGTGCAATTTGCCAGTTCTCCAAACTGCGCAGAATCATAACAACTGGTTTACCGAAACAGTCCGGACTGGTAGAATCCCATACCTAAGTATATGAGCATTTGTTATATATTGTTGAATAGAAGCTCATGTCAATTAAATTTATTTTTGGGGAATAATAATTAAATTTATTATTTTGGATGTTCTAATAAGGTACTTTTGTTATCAATACTATTAACACATTTTGTTTCAAGAATTATATTGTATAGGTATTAATAATTGATTATTTGAGAATATGTAAGCACTACCTTGACTTTATTCAATGGTTACAAAAATATTAGTATATGTTTATTATGTGACTACCTTAATTTATTTAACTGTACAAATATTTTCTCTTCAGGAAAATGATGTTCAGTTTGAGGACTCTCCAAGCAGTGTGAAAAAAGAGGTGAGTTCATTAAAACACATTTTGATTTTTTTAAAGCATTGTTATATAGTTTACAAACAGACTGTGGGTAGTGTGCAACACAACAGTGAAAAATTCCATAAAAATCTAAAAACAATAATAAATAAATTAAACATATAAAATAAATAGAACCCAAGAAAGTGGGAGAATAAACATCAATTTCATACAACCATCTTGCATCTTGTCCTTGAAATCCTCAAAGCTGTGGGGGGAAAAAACATGTTTTAGGGGGCTTTCTGGAAGACTGAGAGAGATGATGTTTACCTCACCTCACCTATTTTTCCTGTTGGTGTTGTCTGGCCAGTGTACATCCTGTTGAGACAATGCTGGCAATGCCATTGGCATTGGAAATGGTGACAATTTGATGTGAAGCCTCATGGTTTAGCCAGAGACAGACAATGTGGCATGTAGTTTGCAATATCTAAATTCAGCCTAGGACTTGAAAGATTTATGGCTTGTACCTTTGGGAATGTTGGAGGGGAACAACTGATTGAATTGGGGAAGACTAGTGGCAGAGGAAGGCGGTTTCCTGCAGATTGCCATGGATTCTCTTCTTATGCAAGCAGTCTTTTTTGTTTGTGATTTAATTACAGATGAGAAAGCCAGCCTGATGTGAATTATTGAGACTTGGCTGGGTCTGGGGGAGTGATATGTGTCCCCCTTTTGGAAATGTATCCAGCCAGGTTCTGATGTAGCAAAAGATATGGATGGGAATGTGGAGGTTGCCTTTTAGGAGTGTCTTACTGCTTTCAGAGGCACTGTTCCGCAAGTTGCTGAATTTGAGACTATTCCTTATAACAGTTCCAGGGATTGTTGTTTCTATACTAGCTAGTATCCCGAGTGTGAAGCAACCTCCTTGCCTTAGTTGCTCAACTCATTCTCAGGGTTAGCAGTGGAGTTCCCCACTGGGAGACTTTAATCTGCCTTCTCTGGGAGTGGGGTCGAAGGTGGCTCAGGAGTTCATGACTACCATGACAGACAATGGTCTATCCCGAGTCATCCAAGTCCTGATATGGAATAATACTCATAGCCTTGGTCTGATTATCTTGCTCCTTAGATTCATTCTTTTTAGACTTGGTATAATTTTTAAAAAAAATCAAATGAAGTGTTTTAAAGAACCATTTAATAGGTGTTGAGAGAAGGCTAATAAAATAAGAATATTTTTTTCCAAAAAAATACAATTTTCTTAAATGTTAACAAAATATTTGTTTCCAGCATGAATCCATGCATAATCATAATTTACTTAAACCAAAGTTAACTCATTAGTTTCAAATTGTATTACAGAATAAATTCTGGGTAAAATAAATAAATAAATTTAAATTGTTACAAATGCATTTGTTACTTATTTGATTACTTCAGTATTGCTTATAATATAATTTTCTGGTTTGGGCTCAGTACCTGAATTAGAAAATCTATTGGTTTGTCATTTGTAACTCATATCGTAAAATGTGTGAGTCTAATGAATTACATATTTTTGAATAAAGTATGTTGCAGCAAATCATGTTGTAGCATGATGTATAACCCAATTATTTTTGACAGTTGGCATCACCTGAAGTCTTCATATACAAGTATATTAGATGACACATTTGTCCTAAGAACAAGGAAAAGGAAATCCACTCCCTAACTCTGTGGTCCAAATTTTAATTTAGGGGAAATCTATGTAAAACTCAAAGTAAAATCTTAATTATTCTAACATTAAGTACCAAAACCACAGGTTATTTTACAATTGATTTAAACAGACTGGTATTAAAAATGGTTCCTTATTCCCTTCCTTTTGCAAGAGACTGGTCAAAAATACTATGGTTGCTCAGCCGTGTGGTTGTATTTTTGATTTATGAATTATGAGTCTGCCATTTTCCTTTCTCAGTTGAACTATAATAGGGATATTTGGATTACTTGAGATACTGAAGAAAGATCAAAAAGAATACTGTCAGCTTTTATGATGAAAAATACCTGGTTAGTCCATTGGCAGAACTTCATGATAGGACCCACAAATAGAGAAAACTGGAATGGCATGATTGGCAAAATAGACAAAAGCAGTGACCGGATATAAAATACACACAAAGATATATGTACTAAAAGTCCCAATATTCTTGAAATAATACTATTTGCTTGAGGGGGAAACCCTATCACAATCCCAACCTTGTTAGTTATAAATGTTAGCCCCACTTAATAATTTGCAAGCAGTCCTGGTAGAAATATCCTCCAGGGAATTTGGCTACCAAAGTACCTTATTTTCTGTGATGAAATCTACTGCTTAACTCTTATACTTTTTTTTCTCTTAGCTATTTCTTAAGTTGGATTTAATCATACTATGTAAACTAATGAAATCATTTTCTTTTCATACAGATAAAACTTCCTGCTATTTCACCACATAAAACTGAGCAGAGTATTACATCCAAATTCCAGGGAGAAAAACGACTTTACTTCCCTCGAATGTAAGTAATTTGCAGTGGCAATACTTATTAAAAGAATACTAGAATAATAGAGTTGGAAGGAATATTGGAGATCAAACCCCTTGCTAAAATGGGAAATACTATGCCATTCCAGAGAACTGGTTGTCCAACCTCTTATTAAAAACCTCCAGTGTCAGAACACCCACCACTTTTGGAGGTAAGTTGTTCCACTGATTAATCGTTATAACTGTCAGGGAATTTCTCCTCATTTCCAAGTTGGTTCTCTCCTTGATTAGTTTCCATCCATTGCTTCTTTTACTGCCTTCAGGTGCTTTGAAGAATAGAAAATACAACATAGAATAATAGATTTGGAAGACACCTTGGATGTCTTCTAGTCCATCCCTCTATTCAAGCAGGAGACCCTATACCATTTCAGACAAGTGCCAGTCCAGGCTCTTCTTAAAAGCTTCCAGTGATGGAACAACCGCTTACGACAAACTATTCCATTAGTTGATTGCTCTCAACTTTAGGATATTTTCCTTAAGTGTGGGTTGCTTCTCTCCTTTGGTTAGTTTCAAACCATTGTTTCTTGTCTTGACTTTTGATTCTTCGGAAAATAATTTGACACCCTTGGTTTCTAGGAGCCCCTCCAACATTAGAACAGTGCTACCCTGTTTCTCCAACAATACAGCCTCCCCCAATAGGAAGTCCCAGCATGTTTTATAGGCATGAAATGAAATTAAGCCCCTCCCCCCAAATTAAGGCCTATATTAAAACATGCAAAATGGGGGGGAATGGTGGGGGGGCTTGCCGTTAGGAAGTACTTTTGTTGCACACCTGGATATGGTGCTGCCTGCATTGACCCCGATACGAAGTGCCCCACCAATGCCGAGGTCAACATCCAAGCCGTCGCCGCCCGCCCGCCCAAAGATGCAAGGGGGGAATTAAGTCACTCCCGAAAAGACGGCCTAGCCATTTTTTCAGGGCTCAAAAAAAAATAAGACCCAGCCTTATTATATGAGAAACACGGTATCATGTCACCCGCTAGTCCTTCTTTTCATTAGATTAGGTGTACCCCATTCCTGTAATCATTCTTCATATGTTTTAGCCTCCAGCCCCCTACTGTGTTTCTCCAACAATACGCCTCCCAATAGGAACACCCAGCATGTTTTCTAGGCATAAAGTGAAATTAAGCCTCCCCCCCAAATTTAGGCCTATTTTAAAACATGCAAAATGGGGAGGAAAGGGCAGAGGGACTTGCCGTTAGGAGTGTCCTGCGGGCAGCCATGCCTCACCACCAGCCGCTCCTAATTAGCAATCATGGCGGAGCATGGAGAGCTCCCTTCTCCCACGAAGCACTTTTGCTGCAGACCCGAGACCTTCAGCGCCTGCCGCTGCTGCTTCCTCTGTGGCCATTGCTTTCCCTTCTGCCCGTGCCGCCGTTGTTTGGAGCTGCCGCTTCCGCGTTTGGAGTACTGCTGCCGTTTGGACCGCCGTCGCAGTTCCAAATGCACTCCAAATGGTGATGGTGCTCCAAATGCAGAAGCAGTGCATATGACTCCACTGCTACTAACTTGGCACTGATTGAGTGGACATTAACTGAGGATTTCCCAGGCACATATGGTTTATCAGATGTGGAATGTTGATGCCTGCTATGCTTTAATTTGCTTTCCTAATTTTTCACTATTGCATATTTTAAAAAAAATTCAAACAATCCATTATTATACTTCATGAAGTTTGTTTTTGATACATGGATACTAATTATGTTTAACATGATCAAATCAATATACAGTACATAAAAATCTGACTTGTTATTTTCATGAGTTTGACTGTACAACTGTTTAGAATTAGAATTTGATGTTACAATGGATCCCCAAAAGGCACTTATAGCCCAGTTCCAAACTTATGATTGCTGGGAGAGGTGTGGTCACATTTTCATATTGCAGGCACTTGGCAACCAGTTTGCATTTGCGGCTATTTGCGATGTCCTGCAGTTACATGACTACAATTTTTGGCTTTTTAGTGAAAACTAGCATTTATTTTTGATTTTCAGTAAAAACGCCCCATAGCAATCAATGGGGTTGCTTAACACCCATGGTGATTTACTTAATGACTGCCACAAAAATCTGTAAAATGGGACCGGTTGCATGATAACCCTTTTGTAACTGTCACAACTTAAGATTGTAATAGGCTCAATTATGATGGTGAATCAAGGACTACTAGTACTTACATTAATAGTAGCTGGGTTCTCTGAACTTTTAACAGTTTTTTTCCCTTGATTACTAAAAGGGAGGGTGTAATCAACAACAGTGATAAAATAACAGGATTTGTCATCTGTCCAAAGAACTGTGCTGCTAATTGCTTGTGTCTTTGTATTAGAAGGAATTTTTGATACAATTTTAGAAATAAATTTCACAGGATAACTGATAATTAAACAACTAAAGGAAAGAAGCAAAACAAGAATTGTAATAACCAGCATGTTACAAAGAGAATGTACATACAAACTACAAAATAAATGTTTACTTCTGTTGCACAATTTACCTACTTGGGAAGGCTTCTGTGAAATAGTTTGACATTTTATTTTTCAGTTCCACTAATTATTGGGCCTTTAATAATTGAATGTTTTATCAAATAATAGGGAAATAGGTATTCAATTCTTTTTGCTTTGTTTTGAAAGTATACACAATTTGTGTTGTTTGCTTATAACTATTACTATGAAAAATCTATTAGGCCTACTTTCAGTTTAAAACTTAATTATTTCTTATTTTCTATGAAGGCCTGCTCATAAAAAAAATGAGCCTGTAAATTTCAGCAAACTGATTAGTAGTGGTTATGGTGATGAGTGGCTTCAACAACGTGATCACTGGGAGAAAAAAAATACTCTGCCTAATGGTAATGTGTTAAAAACTTTTTTAAATATTATATCATATTTAATATACTGTAAAAGGTTGCTTAATAATCCCTGCTCTAATTTATAATCCTGTTTATATATTGTGGGTCATAAGTAAATAAAGTATTTTATTCACATTCTGCAACTTATCAGACTTGAATTCACACATCAGAATATGGCAGTTCATCTGAAGAAATGTTCAGAGAGTAACAGCATTTAGGATTCTGCAAAGCATTAAAGATGGTACTTTGCAAGGCATGTTGGTTCATGCCCAATATCTTTCTTACAAGCAATGAAACAGTCACACTTTATGGAAAGTTCTTGAAGCTGTCTGCACATAATTGTTTGTTTATTTTATGTAGTTAATAGTCCACTCCAATTACGCAGAAGTAGTATTTGGTTCCTTCCATATCTCAGATTAAAACAAAACATGATATAGTTAACAAATTAAAGCCACAAAACCACAGTATAAGACCCTAAGGATAATTGTAGACCATACTTATGTATATATAGCCTCATCACTGAAACCATATCCATTTTTTTAAGAACACATAATCATATTCCCAGGGTTAGGGCAAGCCCTTTTTAAACACCAACAGGGAATGGGCCATTTGAGGGTCTGGGAAACTGCTGTTCCAAAGAAGTGGACGAACAATAGAGAAGGCATACTATTCTAGCACCTATAGAAGGCATTTTCTGAGCAAAGGACACAGAGTTTGTCCAATTTGACAATATTCAGTGAACAGATGTTTTTGGAAGAAGGCAATCCTGTAAATATCCAAGCCATGAACTATATAGGGCTTTGGCAGGTGATGGTAACCACCATCTAGAATTACATTCAATGTACAATCAATAGCCAGTACAGCTCCAAAAATAATGTATTGCAGGGGTGCAACAAGGAGTGTCCATGGTTACTTGAGCCATTGCATTCTGGATGAGATGCACTTTCCAAATGCACTTCAAAGTCAGACCTATGTGGAACACATTATAATAGCATAATCAAAATGATTAGGGAATAAGAACCCATGGATAAAGTCTATTATATGTGCACTCACATTTACTGCACATGAATAATTGTTTTATGAATTCAGGCACAGACACTTGAGTAGTCCTATAGGTTTTGCAGAGTGCAGTTTCGAATGTTTTGCATAATCTTAATTGTTTTTATAGAACCAAATTCATATTAAATTTAAATATTTAATATAGATCTGAACATCTTTTGTAATCACTTTGCTTTAAGCAAGTGCTTTGAACAATTGTTAAAACATATTGGGCTAAATTCTATCTTAGAAAAAGAGAAGTTATAATCCTCCTGATTAATTTCTATTATCCATGGGACAAGATTGCAATTCAACACCTTTTGGAAGGATCATAGATTCCCCTTCTCTTTATATCCAGAAGGCATTTTAAGTAAAGAATTCCTTTTCCATTATTTCTTGCAGATTCTCTTCTTCCTCCAGAAGAAAATAGAAAAGAGACAGAAAGCTAGAAAATATACATTGTCAAACAAAAGAAAATCTAAATCTCAATCTGGACTTGAAATGGGTGCCCAGCCTAAGAAGTCACTCTTCAAGCTCAGAATGTGTGCCACCCAAGATCCTATCCCAACAGCCCATTTCTGACATAGCTAAATATAAGAATTCTATTTTGCTGTTATTTTTTTCTCTGCTATTAGAAGAGAATTTAATAATTAGGAAATTAAGGCATATGGTTAATACAAATATTTTTGATGTTAATCAAATATTGAATGATACATTCCTCCCATTCTGAAAGTACCAGAATATTCAGTAAAGTTTCTCCTTACAATTGAAAATAATTAGGCCTTGGGTTGACAAAATCAGATCAACTCAAACCTTTATTGTCAATGCACAACATACGTACAATGAAATTGAATGAGCCTCCCTTGGTGCAGACCCCCCCCCCAAATTAAAGGCAGATTAAAATAAATAAGTAAATAAATAAATAGTAATTTTGCATAATAGCATAAATAAATAATAAAGTAGAAATTATTTCTACTTTATTCATAATAGCTTCAGTTCCAAGCAGAATAAATGGGAGATTAATGTATATCAAGACTGTTTACTTTTCCTGAACCTTTGCAGACTAATTTTTAAAATGCATGATTTTAATATAAAATAGCTGTTAATTATGCAGCATGCAAAATGAAATTTCTACAACTTATACTGATGTCACACTTTTGCACATTTCATGTAGGCCCTTTATTCAGTGGTTGGATTCAATTTTTTTTACTACCGGTTCTGTGGGCATGACTTGGTGGGCGTGGCAGGGGAAGGATACTGTAAAATATCCAGTCAGAGGTGGTGTTTGCTGGTTCTCCAAACTACTCAAAATTTCCACTACTGGTTCCCCAGAACTGGTCAGAACCTGCTGAATACCACTTCTGCCTTTATTAGGAAATAATAACATTACTTTTATGTAACAGTAAAAAATATAGAATTAGTTCTAATCCAACTATTTGAATTTAGGCAAATTCATCACATTCAAAATAGAATTTAATTCTTATGATTGGGAGTTCATTATTTTATTTATGAGGTATTTGTGAAGAATGGCACAGACATAGGCCTCTACAATAACTCCCTGAGCTGTATTTGTACTCTGCTGTAAAAGAAAAGAAAAAAATTACAAACTAAAATGATCATTAAAAAACCTTGCATTCAATGAATTAATGATATACTGGAAACAAAATTGAATATTTTTAAAGGAAATTAGATTTAAATATTAAATATTTAATAATTTGCTCTTATGTGTCAGAAGAACTCTTGTTCTTTTATCTATGGGTAGTCTTTTGGCTTACAACCATTTGTTTAGTGATTGAAGTTACAGCAGCACTGAAAACAGTGACTTATGACACACACTTACAATTGTTGCAGCATTCTCGTGGTCTGGTGATCAAAATTTGGATGCTTGGCAACTGGTTCATATTTATGGAGGTTTTGCAGTGTGCCAGGGTCAAGCAATCATCTTTCTTGACTTTTTGACAAGCAAATTCAATGGTGAAGCCAGATTTACTTCACAATCATGTTGCTAATTTAACAGTGTAGTGATTCACTTAACAACTGTGACAAAAAGGATTTTAAAATGGAACAAAACTCATTTAACTATCTTAACAATATAAATTTTGGGCTCAACTGTGGTCGTAAGTCAAGAACTACCTATTCCAGTCTCTTCTATGGAGAATGAAACTAAGTTCCTAAAAATAACTCCTTTTAAATCTACCTCCTCAAATTGCAAGGCTGCACACTTCAGTAAAACAAGTCCCACTGAATTCAGATTTATTACCAAAGATGTATGAGCAAAAACATGAAATAATTGTTGGCTAAATAGGTTTTTAATACTTAATACTAAGTATGTGAAAGTGCATTTACATTGTTTTAAGAAAACTAAGTCCAAGGAATGTTGTATGTTCATAATATTGAAAAGTTGATTAGAAAATTCACCTAGATGTTTTAAATGTTTTTCTCATTAAGACTTTTTTATGTAAATAATTAATTTATATTCTGTTGTTAGATGTCTTGACAGAGCACAAGAGTAGATCAAAAAGAAAATAACCTAACAATTTCTTCTTGCTAAAAAGTATAGTTGAACATTTCCAAAATAATTTCCAATTTCACAAGCATTTAAAGTAGTGCAAGCCAAAATATTTTAAAAGCACAAAATACTTAAAAGCAATGTTGATTATTCTGTCAAGGAAAAGCATTTCAGAGTTGTAAACCATTTTAGAGAAGTATTGCATCTATTAGTGGCCCTTCTAGAATTTGGTGGAGTTGTGGCATGAGGTATAGAACACTCTCGGTTAATATTAAATTGTGCATTAAAAAAAGGTGAAGATAATAATCTCTGAAATTTACAGGGCTGTATCTACAGTTGCTTAAAGTTTAATTTGAAATAAATATCTAACGTCAAAAATTTAGAAGGCCCCCATGTTCTTTAATAGTTTCAAATAAGAGTTTTTCTGTGTGTTTTCAGTGCAATTGATGTTTCAAAATTGGAATTACTTGGTATTCTTGGTGGCAAGAATAAAAAATATTTTGTGTCCCACATAATCTGAACTTCCAAGTATATCCATAGTCCATCTTTTATTAATGAATGGATCTGAGAATATGTTAAGGCTAGGTGCTGTCGACTGTACTATAAAGCAGCACTTGCCGGAAGGGTCAGTTATGTCCGGTAGTTATTGATAGACTGAACAGCAGTAAAATAAATCTGCATCTATTTTTAAAAAAAGCTAAGTCATTCCCATTGATATTAGTTTATATTTTTGCCAGTATTAAACAGTTATAGAATTGGAGCAAGTGTTTTTACATTTTTATATATCCATGAAATTCAAGTTTAAACTGTTATAAAATCCTATATATTTTGTAAAAACCCTTTGAATATTTTGGGAATGAAACTAATATGTTTCATTTGTACTGAATTCATAGTTATTCAAAACCTTTTCATGTGCAATATTTTATATAATATTTCAAGAACTCATGTCAAGTCATTTACACTGTCTTAATATTGCTAAGTAAAATCAAAATGAAAACAAATTGGGCAGTCATAGTCCTGCTTAAAGAAAGATCCCTGTTTCTATGCTGTTCACTTCAATGTAATTTTAAAATAGTGAAGCCCTTCTGTTTCCCCTCCCTCCCCTATATACGAATTTTCTTTCGTTAAGTAGAAACATTGTGTTTTGATGAGATTACTAATTTTCTTCTCATTTCTGTTTTGCAGATTCAGAGACATCCCAGCCAACATTGACACAAACAGACATTGAGTAAAAGCTGGTACTTCACAGAATTTTCACAATTCTGTTGCTATTTCCAAAGAGCACTGTGTGCAGGAAACTTATACAGCTTAGGAAGCAGGCTCCAATAGTACTCTGCTAACCAGGTATAATAGGTGTCAAGCTTCAAAAGGCTTCAATAGTTCTCTGATAAACCAACTATTGCTAAGGCTCGACTACTCTCTTCTAAAGCCACACCCGTTGCTTGAGAGCTGATGAGTATCCCTCCAGTTATAGGACACTGTTAATATAAGCTATGCTTTGACATTGAACTACTGAAAAGAGTATAGGGAAACACAAAAATGAGACCAGCTTGAGCTTTACAGTGCTGATTTTTTATTTTTGTATCTTTTTCTAAGTAAAAGCTAGTTATTGCATTTTCTATGTAATAAATTGAATGTCAGAGTGGTACTTAAATTATTTTTCATAATATTGGATTGTAATGATAGTTTTAAACACCATTTGTATTTTATTCTGCTTTAGACTTTATATATAAACATATATGAATACTTGAATTTTATTTGAATAAAGATTAAACCATTAGAAATTGGAAACAATTGTCCTTTATTTATGGTTCTTTTCAGTAATAATGTAATGTTATTGAGCAGTTATTTGCGCCTCCAAACAAAAAATGTTTAAAAATACAAGATTTAATGACAGTTTCCATTTAATTTTAAACAAGATGGATATAAAAAATTTATATGTTTTAGACACAACAGCATATCAGGTTTAGTATACCACTTCTGGCAGCATCTGCTGGATTTCTCTAGTCTTGGAAACTCAGCAGAATGAGGATTATTTAAATGATTCTAAATTCTTACAGAGTAATTCAGAAAACATCTTGGAAAGAGACAAGGGCAAAGTATTGGTATGGTTTTTTTAAAAAAAGCTTTATTGTGTAAAATAAGTCATTAAATTAAATTAAATTACATTTATTTGTTACAATCATTAACCAGCACAAATATATAATTGAGACCATAACTTGACTCAAAACTTATTAATGTTTTTGTTGCCTAAAGGGCAAACTGGCATTAGTTCCTATAATTACCTAGTAATTATCCTGGCACTGCTGTGTTGTTTGCTTAAGCAGTCTCTTCTGCATAGAAACTTAGAATATAGAATAATAGGGAGGAGACCTTGGAGATCTTCTACTTCAGTCCCATACCCATGGCAGGAGGTCATCTATTCTATACCAATCTGGATAATGACTTTCCAGTTTTCTTGAAAACCTACAGTAATGTAGCACCCACATCTTTTGGAGCAAGCCTTTCATAATTGTTCTGTCAGAAAATTTCTCCTTGGTTCTCGGTTGAATTTCATGCCAAAAGGAGGATCATACCAGAGAGAAACCTACCTACTAAGCCATGGTGAGGCAGTGGTTAGAATGCAGTATTGCAGGCTAATTCTGCTGACTCCCAGGAGTTCGATCCAGACTGGCTTAAGGTTGATTCAGCCTTCCATCCTTCTGAAGTCAGTAAAATGAGGACCCAAAGTCAATATGCGGACTTTGTAAACCATTTAGAGAGTGCTATAGAGCACTATGAAGTGGTATATGTCTTAGGTACTATTTGCTATTGCTTATTTAGAATGACACTTTGAACACATGGCATGGCCAAAGTAAATCAGATGTAGTCTTATGATTTTAGCTTTTGGTGATGCATCTGGTTTTATATAATTTAACACCTCTCTGTTAGTTGCTCTGGCTGTCCATAGTATACACAATCATTTACGCCAGCACTACAATTCAAAGGCATCAATTTTCTTTCATCAGCCATTCTTAGCATCCAACTCTCTTACCCGTACATCATTATAGGGAAGACTATTGCTCTAGCCAGCCTGCTTTCTGTATTTATATCAATATCTCTGCTTTTTGGGATCTTATTCATTTAACCATTGCAGTGTGACCTAAAATTATCCTACATTTGATTTCAGGAGTAGAACTGCCATCATGAACAATTTTAGATCCAAAGAAGATAAATACTCCAACTAATTCAATTTCCTCCTTGTTGATTTTAGAAATGTCATGTCTATTGGCAGATCTTGTCATTATCTTTGTTTTCCTGATGTTACAATTTAGTCTTACTTTTTAACTTTTGTCCTGGATTTTCCAGATCATTTTTTCCTCGTCTTCCTTATTTTCAGCTAGTAGTGTTGTATCATCTGTGTACCTCAAATTATTTATGGATTCTTCCCCTAGTCTTCATTCCAACATCAGGCAATTCCAGATCTAATTTCTGCATGATCACTTCATCATACAGATTGAACAAAAAGATGATAAAATACATCCCTGTCTTACTATTACTGATTCTGAGACCAATATGTCACCAAAGATGTTCTCAGTATTGCCTCTTCATCAGTGTACAGTGATCTGATGAGTCTGGTTAGGTGGGCTGGGACACCAAGATCCTGCAAAGCCACTCATAGCTTATTGTGTTCTACAGAGTCAAAAAAAATTACATATTTGATAAAGCATGTATAAAGATCCTTTTGATATATATGTGCATTTTCCATAACCCATCTAATACTAGCAATGTGATCTTGAGTGCTGTGCCCTTTATAAAAACTGTTTGTACATCAGATAACTCTTGATGATGAAATTCTGTAGCTTCTGTTTAATGGTTTCTAACAGAAACTTGCTTCCATGAGAAATGAATGCAATCATGCAATAGTTGGAATAGGTTAATTAGAAAAATCACTTTTTCTAAAAAAAAAAATCTTGTTGCTTTCAACTCATTAAGCCTTTGCTAGTACTTATATTAAATTAAAATTGTGAAACTAATTTTGTTTTCTTTTTCCAGTTTTTTATTTTAAAAAAATATTAAGGCATTTCCTCTCACACTACATTTGACAGAGTTTATCTCCCAATAAATAGGTGAATAATAAAAAGTAATGACCTATATTTTGATTTTAAAAAATGTAACCCACATTTTCTACTGGATTGGTATTTATGTATTAAAATAAATTTATCTGGCCACCTGATTCACATACAGTGACTTAGCTTACAATATTTAAAAAATTCACAACACAAAACCATACAAATCCTAGCTCACCTCCCACACGGCAACAGCAATACTATCAAATCAACCACTTGATTGACTCTACTTCCATTTGTAGTCCCCAGGCCTGCTAACAAAGCCACATCTTAAGGGCTTTTAGGAAAAACAGGGGGACTGATCATACCACAGAAGGTGGTATTGCTATCTTCTATAAAAAGTCCTTACATCTAAAAAACATCAAAGTTACCCAAGAGCTTACTCTTCCTGAGACATCGTCTGTGAACTGTCCTTAAATATCACATTTCAATTTTTACTATGTTACAGAGCCCCTGATTATGACATCGAACATGTAAACAAGCTAAATTCACTACTAACATGGGCAACATCCTGCCCACACACTTTTATCTTTCTTGATTACTTCAATCTACCTCACATTAACTGGACCCTAAACGAATGTAAAACTAAACCCATACATGCAACCTTCTACAATGCTGTAACAAACCTGGGACTGAAACAACAATACTGGACTTAACAACTGTCTCGATCTCATCTTCTGCAACAGTTTGAATTCAATTTATGGAATACAAATTAAAGAACCCTTTTCCAACAGTGACCACAGCATGATTGACTTTTGTCTCAACATATGTCCACAAAAAAATCAACACAACGATGTGACCCCCAATTATAACTTCAAAAAAGGCAACTATGATCTTATCAACAATGATCTCTCATCCCTTGATTGGCAATTTCCATTCACTGGATTCAATACTGTTGAAGACCATTACAACATATTTTTACTTGAAGTCAAAAGAGTCATCAAACTATATGTACCAATAACAACTCCAAAAACCAGAAAAAACAGATTACCCATAACAATAAGGAAGCTTCAATCCAAAAAGAGATCACTTTGGCGGAAAAACAAATCTGGTCACATTGCCAACTTCAAAAGCCGATACAAAAATTTATGCCACCAGATAAAGACTGAATGCACCAATTATCACGTTAAACAAGAGGAAAATCTTCTATGCACCAATTCCACCCGTGCTTTCTACAATTTTGTAAACAACAAACTAAAAGACTCAAGGTCCATCCCACACCTGAAAGGACCTAATGGTAAAGACTGCAATGATGACACCATTAAAGCCAACCTCTTTAACACATTCTTTGGCTCAGTATTTGTAAACAGCAATGGATCATGACCAGTATTTCCTAGTCGCATCACAGGCAACTACAATGATCTAATACATATCAATTTTACAGAAGACAATGTTGAAAAAGCACTATGCAATCTAAAACCATCTCTATCTATTGGACTGGATGGAATATGTGCTGACTTCTTTAAAAAGCTATCCACTGCCATAGCCGAACCTCTAAGCATAATTTTTGAAAAATCTTTCAGGACCAGCTCCTTGCCAAAACTATAGTCACAAGCCACAGTCATCCACATCTTCAAAAAGGGAGAGCCCAGCCTAGTTGAAAACTACAGATCAATCTCTTTATGCTGCATCACCTGTAAAGTCATGGAATCAATTATTAACCAATCCATCACCCTCCACTTAGAGACAAAAAACCTACTCTCTAATAAAGAATTTGGTTTCAGAAAAAAACTATCCTGCAATCTGCAACTCTTACACTGCAAAACATATGGACTACACAACTCGATCAGGGCAAAGCAATAGTCGCAATCTACATAGACTTCTATAAAGCCTTTGATTCAGTGGTATGTGACAAACTACTCCTAAAACTAAAATCTGTGTTCTCTTCACTGATGATGTAAAGCTATTCAACACCACAGACAATACTTCTACCCTTTAAAAAGACCTCGACTATGTATCAGAATGGTCAAACAAATGGCAACTTCAAATCTCAACAAATAAATGCTCTGTATTACATATTGGCAAAAAAAATAAATCAGAAAATAAAATACAGGCTGAATAGTCAAGACCTTGTTAATGATCCAAACTCTGTCAAGGACCTTTGGAGTACTCATCTCTAATGATCTAAGTGCTAGAGCCCACTGTAACTACATAGCCAAAAAGGCGTTAAGAGTTGTTAACCTAATCTTACATAGCTTTTTCTCTGGTAATATTACACTAATAACTAGAGCATACAAAACATTTGCTAGACCAATACTCGAATACAGCTCACCAATCTGGAACCCACATTACGTATCTGATATTAACACAGTTGAGAAAGTCCAGAAGTATTTAACAAGAAGAGTTTTCCATTCCTCTACTCGTTGCAGAATACCTTATGCCACCAGACTTGAAATTCTAAACCTAGAAAACCTAGAACTATGCTGCCTTCGGTCTGATCTAAGTATAGTATATAAAATCATACATTGCAATGTCCTATCTGTCAATGAATACTTCAGCTTCAACCATAACAATACAAGAGCAAACAATAGATACAAACTCAAGGTTAATCACACCAAACTTGATTGCAGGAAATACGA